AAACTTTCCGCGTTGTTCGCGAAACTATCATCATCGATTCTTCGTCGTCGTCGTTGCAATATCGCTTCGTTGCACAATTGCGTGCAATCGAACAACGACCAATGACAATGAATGAATGGACGGACGGACGGACGAAAGAGAAAAGAAAAGAAAAGAAAAGAAAAAAAGGAAGAAAGAAACAGGTGGATCGTTCGAAAGGAACACGGATAATATTTCAAGTATGCACTTGCATCATCATGCGTATTTCTCGATAGACGCGCAAAATATATCGATAATTCAAATGACAAAAAAAAAAGAAAGATGAATGATTCACGAATTAAGAATGAGAAAAAAAAAATATATATATATATATATATAGATTTGTAAGTCGTACACAAAGCTCTCTACACCTCGTCCTATTCTACTCTACGAAAAGGGGGGAAAAAAGATAAAAAAACAAAAAAGAAATAAATAAAAAAAAAAAATAAAAGGAAAAAAAAATAGAAACGAATCGAACGCGATAGGACGGATTAACAAGTTTATTCTCTCTTGTCCGTGGAAACGGATAGTGAAAAAGGAAGAGAGAAAAAATACGAGAGAGAGAGAGAGAGAGGGAGAGAGAGAGAGAGAGAGAGAAAGAGAAAGAGAAAGGAAGAGAAAAGAGAGAGGGAGGAAGAGAAAGCAAGAGACAAAGAGAGAGAGAGAGAGAGAAAGAGAGGAAGGGAGAGAAAGAGATAAAAAAAAGTGGAACGAGTGAAAAAAATCACATGGAACAAAAAAAGAAAAAAAGGGAAGAGAGAGAGAGAGAGAGAGGGTTACTCCTACTTGTTGAACGTTATTTCACTCTCGATCCGATCCGTAAAGCCTCGTGACGCCGTAACGAACCGTGTACGAGCCGGACCAAGTTATTTTCATTCCGCGCGTCGCGAATATCGAGTTCCAGCGAAAATCAACGAGAGAGAGAGAGAGAGAGAGAGAGAGAGAGAGAGAGAGAGAGAGAGAGAGAAAGAGAAAGAGAGAAAAAGAGAAAGAAAGATAAAGAGAGAGAGAGAGAGAGAGAGAGAGAGAGAGGAGAAACGTCAACGATCGTGAAACGATAGACGCGCTGGATAAAGCGCGCGGCTTCGAAATGCGTCAAAGTAATCGGTTCTCCCTGTAGACACCCCTTTTCTACCCCTAACTCTTTACCCCTTCTTCCTATACAACCATCCACGCTTTATTCCCTTTTCTGTATTGGCAGGAAAGCTCGTGCTCGAGAGTTCACATACATGCATACATACATATTATATACATAGATATATACACGCTAGAGAGTTCAGCGATTTACAGGAAAATTTATTGCCAGTCAGCCTCTACTCTTCTCTTTTAATCTCATTCCCTCTCTCTCTCTCTCTCTCTCTCTCTCTCTCTCTGTCGTTATCTCTATCTCGATCCATCTATTTAACTATATTTTTCTTTTTATTTATCTCTGTCTCTCGCTTTTTCTCTCTCTCTCTCTCTCCCTCCCTCTCTCTTTCCCTTCCACTCTCTCTCTCACTCTCTCTTTTTCTTTCTCTTTCTCTCTACTCTTCTTTCTGTTTCATCCTCCTTTATTTTCCTCTCCATTGTGATTCAGATATATATATATATATATATATATATGGATATGAATATGGATATAGATATGATATAGACAGATAGATAGATATTCGTTTGTTTATTACGCATAGAGAATTTGAAAGATCTATATATGAATAAAATTCGTATCACGTATCTACTATTTCACCCCATTCATCCCATCAGTTTTTTACCTACCTCACCTTTTTCCGTATTCTCATAGTACGATGAAATTACCAGAAAATTTATATATTTAAATTATTTTCGAACAATGCATACGTAGGATACACACACACACACACATGTGTATATATATATATATATATATATATATATATATATATATTCACATTCGTGTACGTGAATAAAAATCGTAGAGAAACGATCGTGAAATTATAAATTCGTCGAATTACAACGTAAAATGGGAGTAAGAGAAAGAGAGAGGAAAAAAGGAAGGGAGAGAGAAACAAGAGAGAAAAAAAAAAGAAAAAGAAGAAAAAAAAATAACCGATAAAATCAATGAGCAAAATTCGCGATCGTGATGAATGGCATAGAATGAATGTAATTATATCGTTTATGAAACTTCATGCAGGTTAACTTTTGTCAGATTATATCTATTCGATGCTCATAATCGAAAACATTGGAAAATGACGTTCGAGGAATAAATTGTGATAATCAGTGACACGTAATGCTTAAAGAGAAAAAGAGAAAGAGAGAGAAAGAGAGAAAGAGAGAGAGAGAGAGAGAGAGAGAGAGAGAGAGAGAGAGAAAATATAATTGATCGGAACAATTCATCCATCCAACTTATTTATTATGGTACTTTCTTTTCCTCTTTTTTCTCTGGTTCTTTCTTTCCTCTTCTTTTCCTTTTCATTACGCAATGTAATAAATTCTTAATCGCTGAATTATTTTATATCGAAAAAAT